GGAGAAATGAGTGTGTCATCTCCTTAAGATTCTTAATAATGCTATGCAAGTAGGCAATATCACCCCACTTTAAAGGTGAGGAAACCGAGAATCAGGGAGATTTGTATGTCTTCCCCACAACAACCAGGTAATTCCCAGACTCTGGTCTTCACATTCCACATACATCTCATTCTGTTATACTGCAGCCCTCCAAAAGAAGGCATGGGGCTGGAGCTCAGTGAAAAGCAACAGATGCTAATTGAACATGGAGGGCTCCTAAAATTAGAAATTCTCAAGCCATCTTTCTTGTGCAATGTCTTCGTAGAAGGAACAAAAGAGGGCACCTAGGTGGCAGAGTTAGTTAAGCATCTCAGGTCAGGATCTCATGGTGCTTGAGCTCCCCTTTGGGCTTCTCTCTCTCTCTTTCTCTCTCCTTCCCTCCCTCTCTAACTTTCTCTCTCTGCCCCTCATGGGATTCTTTGCCCCTTGCTCACTTGCACCCTCTTTCTCAAAAGATAAAATTAATTAAAATAAAATAGAAATTCTGATATTAAAAAAGAACAGGAGACTTGGAGTCAAGAGACATGGGTCTTAATATTACCACAAACACTATTTGTGGAACGAGTAGTAATTTAGTCTAAATCAACATGTTCTAATCTACAAAAGGAAGATAACTATCACTGATAAGGGAATTTTGTAAAAAGTACTTTGAAAAACAGCAAACAATTATAAAAATTTAGCTGCAGCACCATGATAAATTCTCAGGGCTGATAAATATGGCCTAATGGCCATTTTTATCTCAAAATTACAAATGATAAAGTCCTCTTAAAATTCACCATGCAGGGACATGGAGGAGAGGGAAAGACGACTAAGCTGGTCCATCACTAGAAGTGATTAAATGATCTGTCTTTTTTGTTTAAATATTCCAAATCTCGCCATTTTTCTGTCCTATTAGTTAATAAGAGATATCTATTAAAATCAGCTACTGTGTGAATTTGTCTAGTCTTTTTATTTCTGTCACGTTTTGCTATGTATATTTTGAAGCTATGTTGTTAGGTGCATACAAATTTAGAGTCACTATATCTTTTAGTGGAGTAAACATTTTATCATTATGAAAAGCTTTTTATCTCTGGAAACATTTTTGGCTTAAAGTCTACTCATCTGGTGTTAATTTAGCTCTATCACCTTTTTTTCAGTTAATTTTATCATAGTGTATTTCTATGCTTTTGCTTTTAAATTTTTCTGTCGTCTTAAGTTTAATGATATTCATCTATGCTTACATATAGTTTTTAAATCCAGACTGACAATATTTATCTTTATTCACTGGTATATTTTGTTTCATATATGCCATCCTATATTTTCTATATGTTCCTCCTCTTCCAGCTTTCTTTATCTCTTGCCTTAGATTTTATTTTATATATAATTATAAAAAAATTCTAGTGGAAAAATATTTATTGAAGTATAATTAACATAGTGTTAACTTAGTTTCATGTGTACAATATAAGGATCCAACAATTATATGCATCACTCAGTGTTCATCCTAATAAGTGTACTCTTAATCTCCATTATCTATTTCACCAATCCCCCACCCATCTCCCCTCTGGTAACCACAAGTTTATTCTATTTTAGACTCTGATTTTCTGTCTCTTTCTTTTGTTTCTTGAATTCTACACGAGTGAAATCATATGGTATTTGTCTTTCTCTAATTTCCTTAGCATTCATATACCCTCTACATCCATCCATGCTGTAGCAAATGGCAAGATCTCATTCCTTTTTAAGGCTGAGTGATATTCAATTGTGTGTGTGTGTGTGTATACATATATATATATATACCACTTCCTCTTTATCCACTTATATAACCCTGAACACCTGGGTTGCTTGTTTCTTGACTACTGTAAATAATGCCGCAATAAACATAGGGGTACATATATCTTTTCAAATTCGTGTTTTTGTTTTCTTTGGGTAAACACTTATTAATGGAATGACTGGCTCATGTGGTAATTCTATTTTTAATATTTTGAGGAATCTCCATATTGTATTTCAAGGTAGCTACACCAATTTATATTCCCACCAACAATGCATAAGGGTCCTTTTTCTCCACAGCTTTTCTAACACTTAATATTTCTTGTCTTTTTGATAATAGCCATTCTAACAGGTGTAAAGTGATATCTTATTGTGGTTTTGATTTGCATTTCCCTGATGATTAATGATGCTGAGCATCTTTTCATGTGTCTGTTGGCCATTTGTATGTTTTTAGAAAAATGTATATTCATAGGGTGCCTGCATGGCTCTGCTGAGCTTCCAACTTCAGCTCAGGACATGACTTCATGGTTTCTGAGTTCAAGCCCCACATGGGGCTCTGTGCTGACAGCTCAGAGCCTGGAGCCTGCTTTGGATTGTCTCCCTCTCTCTGCCCCTCCCCCACTTGTGCGTGCATGTTCTCTTTCTCTCAAAAATAAACATTAAAAAATCTATATTCAAGTATATTATATATAATTTTGTCATATTTTATTTTTAATATACTTTCTATTAGCTTAGTAGTTATTTTACTTTTGTGTGTGTGTTTACTCTAAAATTGCCTTGTCAAATAATAGCCACTAGCCATGCATAGGTATTTAGATTTTCATTAAAGAAAGTTGTGTTGACAGCACTGCAGAGGTTACAATATCCATCCTTCACTAAGGCAAATTAGTTGTTTTATCATTTTACATTAAACTTTACATTATCCTATTTACTCACCTCCATTTACTATTCATTTTAATTCAATATATATTTGAAGTACCACAAGATGCTATTATATAACCAGCTTTTATTCATATTTACCTGTGCCATCTGCCTTTTCTGTTACTCTGTTTTCACTATTTTTGCATTACTCTATCTTTTCATCCATCTTCCTTCTGCTGGAAGAATACTCTTAAGTGTTTCCTTTAGTGTGAGTGTACTGCTAAAGAAATTCTATTAATTTTGATTATGTAGAAATGCTTTTATTTCACCTGTTTGAATAATATTTTAGCTGTGAATGGAATTCTAGGTTGGCAGTAACTTTATTTCAGTACATTGAAGATATTCTGTTGTATTATGGCTTTTATTTTTTCTGTTGGAAGTCTGCTCTTGGGGCTTATTGTTGTTTCTCTGGAGTCTATCTTTTCCTACGTCTGCCTTTAAGGTTTTATATTTTCTGATATTTTAGTATGCTGTGCCTGATGTAATTTATTTTTTTATTGTAGATACAGAGTCCAAATTCTTCTTAAGTTTTGTGGGGTTTTTGTGTTTTATTAGTTTTGAAAAATCTTCATTCATTACCTCTTCAAATATTGCATTAGCCCCACTTTTTCTCTCATTTAATTCGGCAACTTTCATGTTTGTAAGAATGTTCTAAATATCCCCTTAGTATTTTTTTCTTTTTGGTATTTTTCCACCCTTTTTTCTATTGTGCTTCAGTCTAAATATTTTCTTCTGGTCTTTCTATACTCTAATTCCCCTTTCAACTATCTCTAATATGCTATGATATCCATTTTATGAGATCTTCAGTTACTTAATATTTTTCATTCTGGAGTTTTTATTAGCTTTTTAAAATGCTTTTCAATCCTTGGCTAAAATTTCCAAATTTTGCTTTATTGTCTTGAATATATTAAATGTAAATTCCAGGTCCGTTAACTATTATTCATGTGTCCTGAGTCTGCCTTTATTAGCAGTTATTTTTCTTGGTTTTGAATTTTATCTCCTCGGATAATCATTTAATCACTTCAGTTTCTGAAGCTAAATAAATTATCCTTATTTTAATATGGATTAGAATTGTATTCACAACCAAATTAATTCCTTTTAGAACTTAATCTTTTGTATTTTAAAGCATACCTTTAGGTAATTTCTCCATCTGCTTTGCAAAAGTCTATAAAAGTAAGCAATTCATCTAGCATATGTATTCTCTCTGATTTATGTTCTCAGTATCAATAACTAGGAAAAAAAAACAAATGCCTTGTGAATGTTACTTTATCTGTTCAGATAGGCTTTACATTAACGATATTTGCTACAACCTTACATATATTTTCAAGACATTTGTCACATTTTGAAAATTTTAGGCTCTATCCTATAATTTTTTTCTTAACAAATAAAAATATCTACCCTCTGAGTAGCCCTAGCATTATGATAAATAAAAAAAAAAAAAAGATCTGCAGTTAGCATTAAGGTAGATTTTCACTGTGGGATGAAAAATTTTAATTGTTCTTAATGACTTCCTTTTATATGAATTATTATTAGTTTTAAAGATTTCACTTATTATTTGAAAAACAGAAAATATATACCAAGAACCTTTTTTGAGGAAAAAGAGAAAGTTCTCCAAATCAATTCTTCTGGCACACAAAACATTTCATAGTACCTAATCTGATTTTATACAATTACCTACATTTTCTCTTTGAACAACTTACCTTTGCTCTTTGGAAATCCCTGGAAAAATCAAAGAATACAATATAAGGAGGGACCATCACTGAACATCAAGGTCAATACCATGACATAACAATCTACATTTGATGGCAAAGTTCCTTATAAACTAGTCCTCTTCTGGCTCATTTTTTTACTTGATCTCTATCACCAAACTTCCTCTGATTTTTTCCTTTCCAATTTTGTCTTAAATCTGCAAATTTCCTAGTGCAAAGATTTGATTTTCTGAATTTAGGGTTTCACACTCTCACTCAACTATTCATATACAGTACACAGTTCCCATTGTGAAGGGAAAATGAAAAGAGCCATTTCCTTGGACTTGATGCCTTTAGGAGCTCTTTATAGCCCTTTTATAAAGTAAAAGACAGCTTGACCTAATATTATGTGTATTTTCTCCTCCTGCACTAAAATTCTTTCCTCTTCATTTCTCCTGCCACCACTTTGAGTGACTTTCTACTCCATTGTCTTTTCTTTGTATCGCATACTGCCACTTTTAAAAATTCACTTTTATCCTTAACTAATGTGATAAGTCTTTCTTCCCTTGTACACATTGTCCCTCAGCTATATAATAATAAACTATTCTTATGCTCACTTTGACAGCACATGTACTAAAATTGAAATGATACAGAGAAGATTAGCATGGCCCAGCACAAGGATGACATGCAAATTCATGAAGTATTTCACATTTGGGGGGGAAAAGAGAAAAATAAAGTATTCTGATTATTTTTGCTTCCTGGACCTTCTTTTCCTATACCTTTCTAATTGTAAATCTGGGCAATTGGAGAAAATTTTGCCTCCCTTACAAAGTTTCTCAACATACTTAAATTCTACCTATGTACATGTCTCATTATATGCTTTTTAGAGCCAGCATATTAACATATTTGAGGTGCTCACCAATTATTTGTTGAATGAATATTTCTACTATCCAAGTGAAGTATTTTATACAATAGCAAAATATTTAGACCAGTCCCTCTAACTCTCACATTTACCTTTACACTTAGAATTTGCCAATATATTAATCAACTAAATTGTAACATTGAATTGTTTAAGCTATCTCTAGCAGCCATTGGATTTCTGCATGAGGCACAGTTTCCTGACAAAGGTATTCTAGCAAAGTAACCCATCTGTTCTCAATTATTTTCCATATTTGTTTCATATTCAGCATTCATTGCCCCATTCTTAAAGTTTACATCATTTAATTTATTCTTGATATGTGTCTTATCTCTTATGAGGCCATCTTCTGTGAATTTCATTTGGCTCACAAGTGGTCCTTCATATGGTATGCAATCTTTTTTTTTTCACCTGTAACTATTCTGTGAGGTCCATTCTTCTTTGAAACTTCCTTTACTTCTTCTGATACTAGGGAAAAAATTAGATAAATAACCAGGTATTGAAATGCTTCTTCTCAACCTGCGATTTTATCTGCAATGCCAAGGTAATCCATATGCTTTAACTAAGATCAAATGAGAGAATATATGTAATATAACATTTGATCATAATATGCTATAACCGCTTATAATTATTATCTGTTGGGAAGAAACCAAACTCAGGACTTTCTTTAGGAGTAGTAAATTTCCTCTCATGTGTTAGCATAAAGAATCCTTCCCACAAGTACCTGCTATCTAGTTAAGACCAAAAGCTTAATATAATCTACATTTGTTGAGTATTTGCCAAGTATCCAGCACTTAATCCCTGTAATTCATGTGTGTGTGTGTATAGTATATATACTATAGTGTGTGTATGTGCATATAGTACCTAACTGACCTACATTCTTAACTACTATGCTATGACACTTTAAGGAAATAAGATACATACTGATTAAATTTTAGAAGAGTGAAAAAGAGATTGAACAGCTATAGGACACTGGGCTTCTGAGAAGTAGCGACAAACTTAGACTTGGAAGGGTTCGTATTCCCATATATACAATACTCATATTTCTGTTTTGATTCTCCAAAACTTTTCAGTATCCATCATTGTAAGTACTTTGTTTCGTCAGTTGGTCTTTTGCTTTGTGCTTATAAGCAATATATTTGAAGAACAGAAGGAAAACATCTCATTAGAAAGGTATAGTTCATTGAATAACAAACTTTTTGACAGTGTTCTCATTAGATATAAAAAACACAACAAACATGTAGTAATATGTATTCACAAATTGGCTAGAGTATAAAACTGTATAAGGAAAAAAAACACTATGAAATCTTTAAATTGCTAAAGGAAAGAAAATGACTTTTCTTGTTCTTTTTACGATACTTTATTCTACAATGTCTCTGTGAAATAGGATGCAATGTCCGAATATCAAAGTAGAAATTTAAACAATAGCCTTGCCTCTCATAACCACTTACCACATAGATACTTCATCGTACTCCTAACTTTACACATTGTGAATCTGCTGGGCTCTGAAAACAATAATAGTATAGTCCTTTTGGCCGAACATATGTCATTCCTAGTGCAATAAATTTTCATCCAACCAAAAAGGCAGCAATGAATTTTTTTTGTGGCAAATTTTAATATTATCTTCTAACTGTATTAACCCTGAAACCTTCAACCTATGTGAAATTCTAATCCACAATAATTTAGAAAGCAAAGATTTAGCTTACATCTTTTTCCAGAGTCATTAACATTGCAAGCGTAATTTCCAAAAGTAAGAACCATCTCCAGTGTTATGGAAACAGTAGTTCATCTTTCCAGGAAAACATACTCTGTCCTTTGGTATTCTAATAATTTAAACTTCCTAGTCATATTGAACAAGGGAGTGTATCTATTTTCTAGTGGCATTCCTTAGTTTATCTTGAGGAAAGAAGTAATTTGAAGCAACTGAACCAGGTGAAGAAGTTTTTAAAGGAAATTACGTTTCATTTATTGTATCCTTGCTATGTATTGAAATGAGGCAGCCCATACCTGAAAGCACTGGCTGGACAGTATTCCCTGAACTGCCATAATGACACCTTTCATTTTAATTTTTTTTTTTTAACATTTATTTATTTTTGAGACAGAGAGAGACAGAGCACGAACAGGGGAGGGGCAGAGAGAGAGGGAGACACAGAATCTGAAACAGGCTCCGGGCTCTGAGCTGTCAGCACAGAGCCCGACGTGGGGCTCGAACTCACGGACCGTGAGATCATGACCTGAGCCGAAGTCGGACGCTTAACCGACCAAGCCACCCAGGTGCCCCGACACCTTTCATTTTAATTACTATAACCATGACCTGTACTATATCTTCTCTCTCCTCTAACCAAATCATATGGTATTTGTCTTTGTCTGGCTTATTTCACTTAGCATAGTACCTAGTTCATAGTTTCATCCATCTTGTAATAAATGGCAAGACTTTATTCTTTTCATGGCTCAGTAATATTTTACTACATATATGTATACCACATCTTCTTTATCCATTCATCTATTGGTCACTTAAGCTGCTTCCGTATCTTAACTATTATAAATAATACTGCAATAAATAGATATGCATGTATCTTTTTTAATGAATATTTATATTTTCTTTGACAAATACCCACAAGTGGAATTATAAGCCAGCCAAAGACAAATATCACATGATTTAATTTATACATGGAATTTGAAAAACAAATGAACAAACAACAACAACAGGGAGACAGACTCAAAAAGAACAAACTGGTGTTGCCAGAGGGGAATGGGCAGCTAGGATGGGTGAAGGTTAGTAAGAGGTACAAATTTCCAGGTACAAAATAAGTCACAGGGATGAAAAGCATGGCACAGGGAATATAGTCAATAATATTGTAATATACTTTATGATGACCGTTGCATAATGTCTACAATTATTGTTGAATCACTATGCTGTATATCTGAAACTAATTTCGTATTATATGTCAACTATACTTCAATTAAAGTTTTAAGAAAGGAATAACCAAAACCTTATTGATTTGTTTTTGTCACTGTTCTTTATTTTTCTTGATGGCTTCTTGTTTTTCAGTTTCTTGGCAGCCTTTTAAAAACAACTGCTAAAAAATCTCCTTAGCAAACTATGCAATGTTATTTTATGCTTTTCCAATTGAGATAATAATCCTGAAGAGTTAAACTTTACGCAAAAATTAGCCTTTTCCATCCAAGAGGACCTATTATGGTGTGGCTGAAGCACATTTTAAAATAGGTTTCTTTTACATGTGCTTATTTACCTTGTTGAGTTCAAGAACTGAAATTCCTACACATTCACATAACTAGACAAATGAAAGCCTCTGCTCTGAGCCCCGCTGCAGTCCCTTTCATTCATCAAATCAGCACAGTTCATACACTTCAACTATGCCATCACCTATTGCTAGATCTTTTTTCTTTACCTCTTGATTACCCAAAGTCAATTTACAAACAAGTCTCATCACCTCTACCAGTAAAGCAGGAGGTTGATAAGCTTGAAAGAGCAAAAAATTGCATCTATGTTCAGTAGTTTCTAACTGAAACTTAATATTTGCTTTATGAATGACTCAACATAGTAACAATGTCCATGACTTCATCACCAATACGAATTACAGATATTTTCATGTATTACTATTATTTTAGCAATACTATTTGCATACTATTTGCAATAGTATTTATCACTACTTTGCAATTACGGTGGTTATCAGACCCGCTACTAATTCTTCTTAAGTAGTGTATGACTGAAGCTACACAGATATTGTTTCACAAATTTGTTTTTTTTTTACTGTTTTTATAATTACATTTTACTACCATGTTTTCTTTGTGCTTGTTTGCATTGTATGCTATGCATTTTAAACCATGATTCTAAAGGCGTTTTGTGGGTTTACCCACACTGCCAATGGGGGAAATAAAACTATCCTGAATAATGGTCTTTCTCACTAATGCCACCACAACCAGCCCAAGTTAGACACGTTATCATCTTCAGCCTGGACGGTTGCAATAGCTAGGCTCTCTGCTTCCACTCTTGTTCCCCCAAAATGTTTTCCAAAAAACAGCCGGAGTCACATTTAAGTTTTTTTTTTTTTTTACTATTTTATTAAAAATTTTTTTACTTCTATTTTTAAGAAAGGTAGTTGATCTGTTAGTTTCAGGTGCACAACGTGGTGATGCAGTTATATACATCATGAAATGCTAACCGCAGTAAGTGTAGTTACCATGTGTCACCGTACAAAGTTATTGTCCCTCTACTGTACTTTTCATCCCTGTGACTGAAGTTTGTACCTCTTAAACCCTTTCACCTGTTTTGCCCATCCCTCTACCCCCATTCCCTCTGTCAACCACCAGTTTGTTCTCTGCATTTATGAGTCTGTTTCTGTGGCGTTTTTTTGTTTGTTGTTTTGTTTTTTAAATTGCCCGTGTAAATAAGATAATATATTGTTTTTCTCTGACTTATTTCACTCAGCATAATATTCTCTACAACCATGCATGTTGTCACAAATAGCAAGGTTTTATTATTCTTATGACCAAGTGATAGTCCATTGTGTATATATACCACATCTTTGTTATCCATTCATCTATTGGGGTTTTTTTCCATACAAATTTTAGGATTGCTTATTCTAGTTCTGAAAAATGCTGTTGTTATTTTGATAGATATTGTATTAAATGTATAGATCGCTTTAGGTAGTATAGACATTTTAACAGTATTTGTTCTTCCAATCCATGAGCATGAAACATCTTTCCATTTTCAAATGTCGTCTTCAATTTCTTTCATCACTGTTTTATGATTTTCAGAGTAGAGATCTTTCATC